ACTGACAAGGGGCCCGTTTCCTAGGCTTGCATCATATCCCTGGCTGTTTTTGTACCTGCTCATCCAACAATCTTAGTAATTATGAAATTGAATGTGTATCCTTGTTCATTACAATGTGAGGCTACCAATGAGTTTGGATCTCCTTGTGTAACTACTCAGTCATGTTCTTGCAGTCTGGTGGTTAGCTTCCTCCCCATTTGTCCTACATAGTCAAAGGGGCAATCCATGCAGGGGATCCGGTAGATTACATTGGAAGTATCTCCCACACTTCCAAGTGATTTTTGAAGTGCATAATTTGTCCTTGTATGCTAGCCTCTGGGCAGTGTGCAATTCCTACTTGCAGATCTCAGCAGCTGCATTCTGCTGCTTCCAAAATGTTTTTGATATATGGCAGAGTGTGTCATATAAATCTCCTTTCTTTAGTATTAAACATCTCCAACTTCCCTATATCCTTGTTAATCAATGTGAGTGGTGAAACTATCATAGGTTGTCAAGTGTTGTCTAATTTGGACTGAAGAGGATCAGTTTGTAAGCTATGAAATGAATTTTCCCTAACTTGTCCCTTTCCAGAAATTTGGACTAACCTCACAAAATGAATTTGACAAAGAAGACCATAGCCTACTTCTTGATAAGGTAGAAAAATGTGGATTCGTAACTGGCTGACTAATTGCACTCAACATGTAGTCTTCAATGGAACTGCATCTACATGGAGGGAAGTATGCAATGGGGTACCCCAAGTCTGTTTTAGGCCCAGTACTCTTCAACATCTTCATCAATGATTTGGATGAGGGGATAGATGGGGAACTCATCAAATTTGCAGACGACACCAAGCTGGCAGGAATAGCCAACACTCCAGAAGACAGGCTTAAGATACAAGAGGATCTTGACAAACTTGAACAATGGGCGCTATCTAACAAAATGAAAGTCAATATAGAGAAAAGTGAAGTTTAACACTTAGGGAAGAAAAATCAAATGTACAGGTACAGTATAGATTGTACCTTGCTCAGTAGTAATAACTGTGAGAGGGATCTCGGAGTCCTAGTGGACAATCACTTAAAAAGGAGCCAGCAGTGTGCTGCAGCTGCCAAAAAAGCCAACATAGTACTAGGCTGCATTAACAGAGGGATAGAATCAAGATCACGTGAAGTGTTAATACTACTTTATAAAGTCTTGGTAAGGCCACATTTGGAATACTGCATCCAGTTTTGATCATCACAATGTAAAAGAGATGTTGAGATGCTAAAAAGAGTGCAGAGAAGAGCAACAAAGATGATGAGAGGACCGGAGGCTAAAACATACAAAGAACACAGGAATTGGATATATTTAGTTAAATGAAAAGAACGACTAGGGGAAACACGATAACAGTCTTCCAATATTTGAGGGGCTGCCACAAAGAAGAGGGGGTCAACCTATTTCAATAGCACTTGAAGGCCAGACAAGGAACAATGGATGGAAACTAATCAAGGAGAGATTCAATCTAGAACTGAGGAGGAATTTCCTGACAGTGAGAACAATTAATCAGTGGAACGACTTGCCTCTAGAAGTTGTAGGTGCTGCATCACCGGAGGCTTTTAAGAAGAGATTGGACAACCATTTGTCCAGAATGATATAAGGTCTCCTCTCAGGGTTGGACTAGAAGACCTCCAAGGTCCCTTCCAACTCTTATTCTGTTAATTAACCAGTGGAACAGCTTGCCTCCAGAAGTTGTGGGTGCTACATCACTGGAGGTTTTTAAGAAGAGACTGGACAACCATTTAACTGAAATGGCATAGGGTTTCCTGCTTGAGCAGGGGGTTGGACTAGAAGACACCCAAGGTCCCTTCCAACTCTATTATTTTGCTAAGTGATCAGTTGTAAGTTGACAATCTTTATTTGGACCAAATAATAAAACACAGTGGCAGTGTTCGCACCATTTGTTGTGACAAATCAATAAATAAAATCTTCACTGATGGGCTGCTTCAGACCTCATGTTGACCTCAAACACATAAAGGCATTTTAGTATAGCCTTGAATATTGGGTGAACACAGCCTAAGCATTATATTCCATTCTCCCCCAAAGTTTTACCAATGGTTGAACACCCAAACAGACCCATTTTAGAAGACTGGAAGGCAATGTGCCCAGCCTAGTTGATAGTTCCTATGAGAATAATCCCTCAATTAAATATTAGTTAATATTTGTAATACAATGTACAGTTGGAAACCGGATTTCCAGATGGGAAAACACGAATGCTGGCTCTCTTCACGTTTTTCTTTTGTGTTCAATCTGTTCTTTGAACCGCAAATGTAATTCCACATTCTCTTCTATGTTCTTATGGAAAGTAAAAAAAATCAGAGGTCTGGAATAAACACCTCCCCCCTCTCTGCCTCTAGAAATATAAGCTATGTCCCCAAAAATCTCTTTTTTGGGATGTTTCAAATTTATTATATGTATGCCATTTTTCTAAATTGAGATTTGGCTTCCATTCAAATGGATACGGCGAAGGTGCATATATAAAAATGAAAATCCCAATAAAGTTAACCATCATAACAAACAATAGAAACTAGTGGTGCAATAATTATCAATTAAAGTAATATAATTGTTTTGAGCTGGTGCCTGAAATATTGTAAAATAATGGTTCAAACTTTGGGCATCGTCACCATCAAAAAGTCTTCTTTTTCGTCTTTCAGGGGTAGGCAACCTTAGCTCTTTTATGACTCATGGACTTCAACTCCCAGCATTCCATGCTGGATCAGGAATTCTGGGAGTTGAAGTCCACAAGTCATAAAAGAGCCAAGGTGGCCTACCCCTGGTCTACATGATGGCACCTCAATTGATATTATGTGATGAAACATCTCAAGGAAACAATGAAGCTCAGAGACTACCAATGACCCCACAGTCCTCCTTCTGCTGTTGATGATGTTACCTAGTTCAGGTAACATCATCATCTTACCCAATCCCGGTCATGGACCGGTACCAGACCGCGGCATGCCAGCAACCAGTCTGCACAAACAAGCAAAGCCCCATCCACGAGATGCAGGCAGCACACAAAACCACGCATCCTCCGGTCCGCGGAAAAACCTCTCTCCACGGAACCGGTCCCTGGTGCCCAAAAGGTTGGGGACCTCTCACCTAGTTGGCTAATGAAATGTCTTCAAGAATTCAACCAGGATCAGTGAGCATCAAGGACCTCACAGACCTCCTCTTCCTTCTCCTCCTCCTCCTTCCCCCCCAGCCCCCTCCCTTCAAGCACTGATGATGTTACCAAGTTGGGTCATGAAATGTCTGTAAGACAAGAAGCAAGCTCAGAGAGCACCAAGGACCCCACAGTTTAATCCTGGGCTACAGATATTCGTGTCATGGTTCCGACAGATGAAACTCTTCAAAAGAACTTCGAGGCATTGTTTACCTTAAAGAATCTTTTATTCAAGTAGCATAATATTGGCACTGCCTAATCGAAGCCAAAAACTGAATTCTCCTCCCCTGAGCACATAGTATCAAAGCACAATTCCCTCCTCCAATTAACAGTCATAAATCACATTCCCCAATTAGCTTGAAGCGCAGGCTTCCTCTCCAGTTCTCCAGCCCGCCAATTCCTTATCAGCTCTGGTTACAATAACCTTGTTTCTCACGCTAGGTTCAGTGTTGTTATGTTTAGCTGGACTCTCGTTCACATCCCCCCCCCAGCATCATCCAACTTTAAAAGCAAAAGGTAAAAGATGGCTACATTTCTATCTGTTGTCAATGCAAAAACATCCAATGTTAGCAGCGTTGACAATTCACTTCTATTGATATCTATCAATCATGTGTCTACCTGCCTATCCCTATCTATCCATCATCTGTCTGTCTGTCTGTCTGTCTGTCTGTCTGTCTGTCTATCATCTATCTATCTATCTATCTATCTATCTATCTATCTATCTATCTATCTATCTATCTATCTATCTATCTATCTATCTACCGATTTCATCTCTCTCTCATATATATGTATGTATGTATGCATGTATCATCTATCTATCTGTCTGTCATACATCTATCTCAGTGGTGATGAACCTATGGCACGGGTGCCAGAGGCGGCACTCGGAGCCCTCTCTGTAGGCACACGTGCCATTGCCCCAGTCTTGCCTCCCCTCATGATCCCCTCCTCACCAGCAGCCCCCCTGGAGAGTCGCCCCGAACGTGGCCCGTGCGGAACAGCGCAGCCAAGGACATGGCAGCCAGGCAGCGTAGACAAGACTCTTCCCTCACATCCCATTGCGCACAGTTGATGCTGTGGGGCGCGGGCAGAGGGTGTGGCCGCCATGGCGCTGCTGGGCTGCCTGGGCGATCTGCGGCAGGCCCTGGAGGCAGTGAGTGGCCCTGCAGGCAGGCGGGGTGGGGGCGGAGCGGGGGCGGGGCAGGAGGTGGAGCGGAGGTGGGGCCAGTTTTTGGGCACTTGGTCTCTAAAAGGTTCACCATCACTGATCTATCTTAATACTAGATCAACAACCCAGCAATAAACAACAGCCTAATCAAGGAAGTACCTTCCAAGCCTCCCACCAACACTCACAGGGCAAGCCATTTACGTAAACAGAGAGCAACTGCCACTCCCTTCTAGCAGTGATGATGTTACCTAGTAACCTAATGCCTCCCTGGAAAAAAAAATCCAAAATATTCCTGAGAAGAAATTGAGATTAAGGTCTCATGACATTCATTTGTCCTTCTCTCCTTGTTGCCTATTCATCGATTAGTCACCCTGATCTTAACTGCCCCATCTGCTGTGCTAAGATAACAATTGTTCCCCATCGTGGACAGCTGAGATTGTAAGGTTGTAAGCCGTGAAGGTTCAGCAGAATGAAGGGACACACAAAAAGTGCACTTGCCATGTGTTAAGAAAAATGATTGTCAGCAAAAAAATAATTCTTCATCTAAAAATAAACGTTTTGAGCTAAGTCCACATCATCTGAAGACTGAACGATATGCCTCTTCCACTTCTATGATTCTAAGAGAACTTCAAGAGAATTTCAATCTATTTTGGCCTGGGACTATTAAGGAACCAAAAAGAAATAAGCCACCTCATCCAGATCCACGGGGTAGTCCGTGATCAAGGTAGGAGTCTTCTCAAACAGCTCTCCTTTGTAACTCCGCCATTTGCCCGCCGGGATATAGATGTCTCGTTCCTGTTTCCCCATCTCCAAGACGGGAGCCACCATCAAGGTGTCTCCAATGAGAAACTGAGAATCGATCTTGTGAGCAGACTCGTCCCCAGGAGAGATCCACCATATGGGCCGTATGATGGGATCCCCCGTGGTCGTGATCTCCCCGGCCAGTTCCAGCAGCAGAGGGGCCACCAAGGACTCGTGAAGCTTGGTGAACTTCAGGGCAATTTCGATGACCTCCTTATCGTAGAGCCAAGGTGGGATGGAGAACTGCATGGACGGCATGAAAGCGGACAACTCCAGCCAACGGAGGTACAGTTCCCGGTCCGGAATTTGCTCAGCCCCGTCGGTTTTATCTGCAACAAAATTTCCACCAATCATATCTGGTAGGATGAAATGGTATCCCAGAAGGCCAATACTTAGAACTGTGGGAATTATGGATTTTAACCCAAGCTCATATCCCCAAATTGAATCCCGGTCAATTATACGAACGAAGCATGGGATGTGTTGGGTCTGGTAACCCACGCGAACTTCTGCCAACTTGTGAAAAGGGCTGGCCATTTCTGCATAATACCTGGACCAGGTGCTGGGATCTGGAAAGAGTTGGAAGGTGGTGAACTCTTTGGGAAGATAGCATGTCTCCCCGGCATCAAACTTGAACGAGGATATGCCGTATTTTAAGCAAAGTTCCTTTAAGTGGGCATGAAACCAATCTCTGACCGAAGGGTTGGTGAAATCCAATATGGCGCCAATTCCATTCCACCACTTCACCATGGCAGGGGATCTCTCATTTCGTTGTGTGACAAAAAATTGTTTCTCGATTCCTACCTTAAAGTTTGATGACTTCTCGTGGACAAAAGGGTGGATCCAGACGGTAACATTAAATCCGTCCTTCTTAAGCTTTTCAAACATTTCTGCCGCGCGAGGGAACTTCGAGACGCTGAAGTCAAAGTCACCGTAATTCTGGGTGTACATGTCGTCAATTTCAATATGGCTGGCTTTGAAGCCGTGCTTCAGGATCATTTCAGCGAATTCCTGAACTTTCTTTTGATCGATCTCTTTTTTGTAAAGGGCCCAGGTGGACCAGATTGGAAACCTGAACATTTGTTCTGAAGGGACCTTCAAAGGTTTCTTGAAATAATTCCGTGACATGTATCTATGGGTGGAAGTCATGTCTGGAGCTGTGCAGACACGGTAACATAACCTTGGAAAAGCTTGATTCTCCAGCAAAGAACCGTATGGAGAATCTTTGTACCTGGCTTGGAAAACAAGAGATAGTTCCGTGGCATTGAATCCAAGGTGGAAGGGAACCGAGTCATTGATCTTGACAGCTACTGCTTTGGAGGACAACCAGTATCTCTCCAGGACACCTCCAAAGCTGTTCCGAAAAGAATACACGTCGCTGTTCACATAAGGCATGGGATCCTGGGATCCTGGCAGCTCGATTGGCCAATGCTGGACACTCATTTCATAGCCTCCATACCAGTGGGCATCTCCCCAGAACATTTTGTGGTCCACCACAGTGTCTGCTAAAAACTCTTCCCAGGTGATGGAGTAGCAGATCACAGTCCTCTTTGGTTTAATTGCCCTGGCAGTGAAATGAATCTTTCTTTCCTCTGTCCTGGTGCAAGTTAACATGTCCTTCTCCTGGAAGCAGGATTCCAGGTCAAGGACCCCAGACCGAAAGGTCAACCTGAAGATCATGTCTCCATCCTGGTTCTTGATGGTGAACCCATCCTTTTGTAACTCCAGCTTTTCAACCTTCATTGTCTTCTGGAAAACAGTGGCATAGGGACACCAAAGTGCTACCATTATTAGAAATAATCCCATCAGGAGTAAGGCGCACGCCACAAAACGAAACGGTGAGGATGCTGGAGGCATCTGGCTGGGTTCCTGCTCCTTCTCCATCTGTTCTCCTTTCCCTCGACGACGGAAGGGCTGAGTTTTCATTTCAGCAGAACCAGTGGCTCAAATTGGATTTTGCCCTTGAAATGAAATGAAAAACGAAGCTTTGGGTTTTGCGGATTAGGTAAATTTATTGTTATAGGAATGGCTAGTCCATATTAAGCCCGTACAGGTAAAAAGTTGAGACTGTAATATTATTGTTTTATTCTACAGGTAGTCCTTGACTTATGACCACAACTGAGCCCCAAATTTCTGTTTTTAAACGAGACATGTGTTAAGTGAGTTTTGCCCCATTATACGACCTTTCTTGCCACAGTTGTTAAATGAATCACTGCAGTTGTTAAGTTAGTCACCCGATTGTTAAGTGAATCTGGCTTCTCCATTGACTAGACTTGTCAGGAGGTCACAAAAGGGCATCACATGACCCTGGGTCATTGCAACCGCCGTGATGTTGAGACTCTAGAAAGAGTGCAGAGAAGAGCAACAAAGATGATTAGGGGACTGGAGGCTAAAGCATATAAGGAACGGCTGCTGGAATTGGGTATGTCTAGTTTAATGAAGAGAAGGACGAGGGGGGACAGGATAGCAAAGTTCCAATATCTCAGGGGCTGCCCCAAAGAAGAGGGAGTCAAGCTATTCTCCAAAGCACCTGAAGGCAGGACAAGAAGCAACGGATGGAAACTAACGAAGGAGAAAAGCAACCTAGAACTAAGGAGAAACTTCCTGACAGTGAGAACAATTAACCACTGGAACAACCTGCCTCCAGAAGCGGTGAATGCTCCAACACTGGAAGTTTTTAAGAAGAGACTGGACAGCCATTTGTCCGAAATGGTATAGGGTTTCCTGCCTGAGCAGGGGGTTGGACTAGATGACCTCCAAGGTCCCTTCCAACTTTATTATTATTATTATTATTATTATTATTATTATTATTATTATTATTATTATT